AGTACTGTCTAAAGTGGGGACAGCTGAGTTGCAAAGCTGAGTGTGTCTCTGGCTCTGAAGTCAGGGAGTCTCAGTGTCGATGATTCCTGTTTGGGGCCGGGCTGGAGCGGAGGGTCATGCAGGAAGGACGGTCACCTAGCAGCCCGCGTGTGGGCAGCCAGTGGCGCTGGGGAGAGAGCTGGGGACGGGCGGGAAGAGCCATCCCGCGGGGACGGCTGGTTGCAGGGCAGCCTCGCAGATGACCCAGGAGTCTGGCTCGGGGCAGGGGCGGGAGGCTGCTGAGTGGCACCAGCGCGGGGAGAGACGAGGAAGCCACAGATGGTTAGGACAGAGCGTCTGCCGTCCCGGGGCGGTGGCAGGCGCACGGCGGAGAGCCACGGTGCCACGCCGCCCGCAGGGACCGTGTCTCTGGAGGTGGCGTCAGCTTCCTGCCCGTCCCAGCAGCAGGCGCTGCCAGACCTCGCGGTGGGACGGTCACGGCAGCTCGGACAGCAGAGGCAGCACAGGGACGCGACGTGTGTCCCTTCACCTTCCTCCCGTCCTTTGCCAACAGGGATGGAGTTCGAAGGCGCCATCATCGCGCTGTTCCACCTCCTGGCCACGCGCACCGACAAAGTCCGAGCCCTGCGCGAGGCCTTCTACCGCCAGAACCTGCCCAACCTCATGAACCTCATCGCCACCATCTTCGTCTTCGCGGTCGTCATCTATTTCCAGGTGCGTCCGGACGTCGCCATTGGCGTGTCGGTGGCCGGGATCCAAGTTTCGATCGCCTGGGCGCGCACGGCCCCTGCCCCGGGGGGTGCCCTGGTCACCACGTGGCACGATCAGAGGTGGCGTCGGAAGCGAGCGGGGTTCCGGGGGAGCCCAACACCCAGAGGCACGAGGCCCCCTGAGCTCAACAAAACAAGGGCAGTTCCGCTGTTTCCAGAATCACGTTCCTCTGGGCTGGGCCCGTCAGTGGATGATAAAATGTAGTTTTAAGTTCTTAGTTCAAGAAATAGGAAAAGTGATCGGGCTCCGGGACCCCATCGCTGTCTTAGCCGAAGTTCGTAGAACATTCGTGGGCCGTGGCTTCCCCGTGAGAGCTCTCACCTTTAAATGTGGCAGCCCCTTTAACTCACTTGCTGGCTGCTTTCCTGCGGTCGGAGTGACCTCTGTATTCTTCAGAGTGTCCATGCCGTAGTTTGGGATTTATCGAGGAGGAAGGGTAGAGGCCAAGGGCAGTTCGGTGTTCGCGGAGGCCACCTGCCTTTCTGAGGTTAAGGTCAGTCACTCTGTTCCTTCCGCCGCGACCTCAGTCGGATGCCGGGTCGGTCACGGAGGGAACTCTCCAGGGCCTTGGTGGGAGCTGGCGGTTGGAGCGTTCAGAATTTGTTCGGGATCCCCCGTGTTGTCCCAGGCACTGGGGGTTCACAAAAATAACACGAAAGAAACGCTTTCCGCTGCCCGGGGCTGCCCTAGAGAAGCCGAGCCTTCCCGTTAATGACCAGAAACGTCCGAAAGGGCCGTTCGCAGGCGGGAGGCCGCTGCTGTGGTGGCCCAGGAAAGATGCCACCCGCCACCCGGAGAGGGTCTCGGCGCGTGGCCTCCGTGCGCTTCTGTGTCTCCCACGTAGAGGTGGATACAGGGGTGTGGGCTTTGTTTTGTCACAAAAACGGCCGCGCTTCCTTACGTTTTTCAACCAGTCTTTCCCGGCGCCTCCGGGCGTGTCCCCGAGTACAGGGGCGCGGTGGGGGGCGGAGAAGGGGCTCGGGGCCCTCGGAGCCGGGAGCCCCAGAACCGCTGCCCAGGGCCGCCTCCCTGGTGGCCAGCCGGGCGGTCCCCAGCGGGCCCGTGTCCCCGTGGTCCGGGACGGGGCAGGGAGGACACAGACGTTCCCTCTGGTTTCAGGGCTTCCGGGTGGACCTGCCCATCAAGTCTGCGCGCTACCGCGGCCAGTACAACACCTACCCCATCAAGCTCTTCTACACGTCGAACATCCCCATCATCCTGCAGTCGGCGCTGGTGTCCAACCTCTACGTCATCTCCCAGATGCTGTCCGCGCGCTTCAGCGGCAACCTGCTGGTCAGCCTGCTGGGCACCTGGTCGGTAAGCACGGCCCGCTCGGGCGGAGCCTGCGCCGGGGCCGCCACGGT